CACGTCAAAATGACACTGGAAATAAAAATTAATGTCACGAAACGTTACACTGAATTAGAGAAAAACATGAATATGTCTACTTATCCCTATTCATAACGGAGAAACTAAGACATTATTCACTCGTTACATTATCCTCTTAACAATACAGACCTGAGTCCATCGTATAGGTCTGAAAAATTAGGCGCGTATATATAAGCGAACAGTCGTTTGATTATATCACCCAAAGGTCTCCCCATTATATATAATTTATCTAATCAATGTGATTTGTAAGTCATTAACAGTACAGAGATGAATATTATGATCAGAATAATTAGGATAGGAAGATTAAGAAACATACATTTCTAAGTAGCGAGAATATTGAATCAAAACCACTGTGATCATTTTATTCAGAACTTAATAAACTCTGGATATGTTTTATCCCGATGAATTATATAATTGTCTTGATAATGTTAACCGAACATCCACACCCACTCTATCATAAGTGAAAAACTTTTCATTCCTTCCCGTATACTCACTGTCTCCTGGTATCCCATAAAATTGACTGTTCTAAAAATGAACTTATTGCTTATTACTATTTTAAGACAAATGTAAAAAGGGAACAACTTGTGCGAAAATTACCTTTTTTGATCATGAGCTATAATAATCAAACAAGCACAAGTGAAATTGTTTCAAAATTGGTCGCTGACACAGAAATGTGGCCCCGACCATCCAGTTACTGATAACGCTCCCATCGATGAAAGGGTTGGAAAACGATAACAGAGATTTCTAACAAGAAAATATATGTGATTCATGGTTCACACTTTCATCAGAATCAGAAACCATACATGTAATGTGTGTGTTGGCAAAGAGTTCGTAGTGTAGCAAGGATAAACGGATATGATATCCAAAAAAAGTGAATTGAGCAATCTAATAAGACGTTTTCCTGAAGGGTTTTAATAAAATGAATGTCCGACCGTCAATCATGCCGAATTCCCAGAAGCATACTGGCTAATCGTTAGTGGGAATCTGGATTACAATCATGAATACAATTTTCTATGCATGGATCCCACAGCTGACTAACGCGGTATTTAAAAGTGTCTAGCCTCTGCTTATTTCTGGGATGGTCGCAAACAATTGTCGAACAATCAGTTGAGTGTAACTCGTCACTATACATCAAATTCATTGACTATGAGAAGGCGTTTGACAGTGTAAATAGGAGAACACTATGTAAACTTCCTCAACACTATGGAGTTCCCAAAAAGATTGTCAACATCATCCAGAACTCATATGACGGACTACAGTGCAAAGTCATGCATGGAGGATAGTTGACAGATGCATTCCAATTAAGGACCGGATTCAGACAGGGCTGTCTACTCTCTCCCTTCCTCTTTCTTCTAGTAGTTGACTGGATTATGAAGATCTCAATATCTGAGGGAAAACACAGAATACAATGTACAGCTCAGAACCAATTGGACGATTTGGACTTCGCAGATCACCTAGCCCTTCTATCTCATACATACGAACAAATTCAGGCCAAGACAACCACTGTAGCAGAAGCCTCTGCATCAGTAGGCCTCAACATACACAGAGGAAAAACCAAGATACTCAAATACAACAAGGAGAACACCAAACCAGTCACACTTGATGGAGAAGCTCTGGAAGAAGCGGAAACTTTCACGTACCTGGACAGCATTACCGATGAACCAGGAGGTTCGGATGCAGACATAAAGGAGAGGATTGGCAAAGCAAGGACAGCATTCCTACAGTTGAAGAACGTATGGAACTCAAAACAATTGTCAACCAATATCAAAGTCAGATTCTTCAAGCGAAAGTCGAGACAGTTCTACTCTAGGGAGCTGAAACTTGGAGGATTACTACTATCATCATCAAAAATGTACAAACACTTATAAACAATTTTCTACACATGATATTCTTCGTTCGTTGACCGGATACCATTAGCAACAGCTTACTTTGGGAGAGAACAAACCAGTTCCCAACTGAAGGGGAAATTTGGAAAAGGCGTTGGAAGTGGATAAGACATAGATTGCGGAAATCATCAAAATGCATCATGAGACAAGCGCTAACTTGGAATCCTGAAGGGAAGCGGAAAAGAGGAAGGCCAAAGAATAGATTATGTCGGAAAATAGAAGCAGATATGAAAAGGATGAATAACAACTGGAAAGAGCTGGAAAGTACTGCTCAGGATAGGGTTGGATGGAGAGTGCTGATGGGCAGCCTACGCTCCTCCACGAGTAGCACGCGTAATTAAGTAAGCACACAATGTATTCAACCCGGCACACTCGTCAGATTGGGAACGATTATTTACACCGAGCGGCTACAAAGTGAGGTTAGAAGTGTTCCAGCAGGCTAGTCTTCTAGATACGTATTGTGTATATTTGCATGAATGATATGAGAAGAGTTATTAAACACTTCGAAGTCACACCACTTGCCTTGGCGGATGTTGAGAACATCATTTGGATAAAGATAATGATTTTCGACGATTTTTTCTTCTCAATTTCCGACTAAATTATTTAACTACTCGTGACCTGGATGTAGTTAACTAGTTTTGATGAAACGTACAAAATCAACGACGAGAGTCTGTTTTAATATCAAAACGTGCCACTCAGCATAAATCTTTCGTGTTCATCTGTTGAATAATTTCTGCCTTAATATTCAGTCAGTCAAATGCAGCGTAGAAACTGGTATATGTGCACATCGGTTTGAGTTCTCGAGGAGTCAACTAATGAAAGAAATGTGCCCAGGATGGTTATAGATGACTTACTCCCAGCAGCTGCAACAATAACGGAAGTTTATCCGAACTCGTATAACCTTTCATGATGAGTACACCTAGACTATAACGTCATTAAAAGGATATGTTACTCAATGAATTATCTTCAACTTTACACAAAACTGTAGAGGCTGCGATTGGAGGTTATTTAGTTGTTCTTCCGTTTGATGTACACGAAAAACGTAAACGAGTGAACAGAATACTTTTTAACTGTCTTATACTTTTTGAACTTATTACTGACAGAAGCCACGAACGCATCGATTTATTGTTATCTGCTAACAATTATTACTAAAACAACATGAATGGTTAAATGCATTTCTGACAGCTAACCAATCTATTGTACAATTAAATACCAACTTTTTGGAAGTCGATGCACCGGATCCCACAAAGTGGCAAGAAGCATTCCCCTTTTCAGTGTGCCTTATACACTTTATGGACTAGATACAATCTCGAGTTTAAAAATACTTTACAAACTGCAGTGACAAAACTACGACCGAACATCAAACTCCATTTCTTGTTTAGAAGAAGCACTGATACTTGCAGCGTGTCAGTTATTGAACCATCATCTACATCTACCCATAACAGAAGTCATTGCATCTGTCAATATGTCCAACGTTATTAATGCTACAGAAACTTTCAGTGTATCGTATGATCCGTTAAACTGCCTTTCCCTCTTTGAGACCGAATATGGATAATAAGAAATAGAGATGTGTGGAATTACAATTATCACAACTATCAAGTGAACATGGATATGGGTTTTACACCAATTCATCGAAAAGAGAAACACGTAGAATTGATCAACTAGAAAGAGTTCTGTGGCAAGGACGACAAAGATAACGAAACAAGTACCTCTCCAGGGCAACTTACGACCCAATTTACAAGTCTAATTAAATCATTTTATATGACTAGACATTTAGTTCCATCTACATGCGATTGGTAATAATAAAAGTATTCTTACATTTCATATCACTATTGAATACTGACGAGTATTGACATAAGCATATCTTGTTTAATAGTTGAAGGACAATCATCACTGGTTTACCTTTTTCATTGATTAAGCAGATTTGATGTTTCACGGAAATTGAATCGGCTAATATAATTTTTTGAATGAAATGACTTTCGAATGTAAAAACTATTAGTGTCAGCATCTAATTAGAAGTACTTAACACTACATGGATTTTAACTAATCAGATTACAGTAATAAATTATCTAGTCAACTAAATAATTCAAAAACATGAAGTGTGTACCTGAACACAGCGAGAATTCGTTTTCAAACAAATCGGCCAATTATTTTCTCAAATATATACAATTACTCCCTTAGAATTTATCAGTACGGATCAAGAACCTAAATTCCTGAGGCCTTATTGTCAGACCTAGGTTTTAATGACTTTTAGCTGTCAGTCCTTAATGAAAATTATCTGTAAAAAATAACTGTTCATTTATACATTCTATTTTGTCAGCAAGCCCTTACAATAAAAATTGTATTAGATGACCAACAGACAACTCCTTTGTAAGATGAATCGAAAATATTGAAATTTGGGAACGAAATTTGGTATTATAGTAAAAAAATAAACCATCATTGGTTTAAGCTTGAAAGCAATTAGCAATCGGAATCCCTAGATTGTTTAAAACAATGAAATCTCGTAAAAAGGCATACAATACGTCAGCTTAACTTATTTCGCTGAGATGATATTTGAACGCTAAGCTAACTTGGTTTTATACATAAAACAAAAGACTAAAAACTTTCAAATCACTTAAAAGGACGATTTTTGCCGAAAAATTGCCTATTCTTCTGAACATGTGACAGGTTCTTCCACATTAGTCTCTTGTATAGTAACAGGGGCAACTGCGATATATACATGCGACGCTGAGAGGACGAAATACTTTGTGACCCTAATTTCCATTGTTTATAGGGAAGACGAATGCTGAAATATATTCGCCAACTCATATTAGTAATTCAACCGTAGTATCTGAAGGGAACAGAAAGACCACATAAAAAATTCGTAAACAGTGATTTACATAATTTGTAGAACTCAAATATCTACAACTTAGACTTAATATAGTTTCCGTGACATTATCTCCTAATATTTGTGGTCACTGCAACACACAAGCAAGTGCAAATAATCAGCTTTCTTGAACCGGTACAAATACTAATGAAGAAGTAATAATATTAATATTTAGACTAGAAGCGGCTAAAGTTATTGCATAGACGTGTGTAAGACCTAAAACTCACCCGTCGCATATCTTTTTAACACGAGTTCGAAGCTGATCACCCTGAAAGAATACCAAGAATACGGATTTGTGGACTGGCATACCCTGCAAAAGACAAACACAAGCAAGACCACACCTGAACATAATGTCTAAGGATAGGTTTAGCACGCTAAGAACTTACTAGAACATAGAAACAAGCCTAGTTCAGCAAAGAGGTCATCTTTCAATGAATTTATTCTTGAAACGGCGAGACTATAATCTATGGACGACCTTTGAGTGACGTTGAAGTGACCTTGAGAATGGACATCTACTTATTAAGACTAAGCGAGGGTTATAAAGTAGTTAAAATTCTCATTTACAATTGATTAAAATTAATAATTAGATTTAGGATTTTCATCACGAACTGACATCAGTTATAATGCTAAAACTCTATCTAGCCAAATGTATGGATGAATTTAGCGCCGAAATTCGTGACTCGTTATCTTATATCTGATTGGTCCGTCCATAAACTATAGTCTCGCCGATTAGGCCTAACAGTCAAATCTTAATCGATTGGAAAATAAGTGACCTAAAAGCTAATTTCCTTCAATTGCCTATGACATTTTTTCATGTTTCTTTTGTGTTCATATTTTGTACATGAACATGTTACTTTATTATATGAAAAACTGCTCATATGACTGACGGTGTTTAATTGTCCAAATATTCAAGTCAATAATACGGTCTCGTGAGTAGTCATCACTCGGCCACATTGTATGATTGCGTTCATATATCGATTAGAATTCTATTCACTGACTTAAATGACGCGAAATTTCGCCTAATCAAACCACATAAAACTTTTGATTCATAACACAATCTCTTTTATTTTTGATAGAGATAATAATAAGAACGGAATAAGAAATTTCAGATGTATAAGTTCATCTACGCTCGAATTTATATGAAATTTGTTTAAAAAACTTAATATGTACTTGCGTTTATAATTTATAAGATTCTTATTGTTTCTCCTGAAAAGGCGATAGATGATTTGTGCTAGAAATATGAACTGAACGTTCGTGCACTGTAAAAAGTTGCAACGCCTTACCCACAAAGTAACAATTAGAAATCGAAAATCACAGGCATCTGAGATCGCTTTCGCATACTAGACAAAAATGATATGTAATAAACTATAGGTTAAAATCCAATAAACTATTCTTATTAGTGACTTCATGAAGTTCAAAAAACTTTCTGAACCAGCTACAAAATTAGTAATGTTAATGCTTAATTCATGCCATCTAATGAGACATATAACTGTATGATATGGACAAAGGTGCCAAGATCGAAATTATTTCTATTCACATTAGCACACTGAGAGGAAATTGACAAGATGAGAGTCAAATTTAGACTCATATATATGCACAAACGTACAGCAGTTATCACTGTTGCCAGAAATCTATCCCTAAAAAGTATTTAGACACAAAGAACAAAGTACTAGTTTATGACTGTGAGCTACAGTAGCCTGAGAAAAGACCTTAATGCAGATCGAGTCAGAAAACCAAAAATGGATGGGAAAACTTTTCACCTAACGTGGTCCATAAATCGTTAAATATATGCAACATTTCCGGTTCTCATATCTATGGATAGCACAAAACTCAAGAAATGAAACACATCGCAGAAAGCAACGGGTCACGCACTGCTCATAAAAAATATCCACTTATGTGCGATAAGCTAACAACTTTGTTACTGAAACATGAATATTAATACTTGGACAATGTTGTGATGGTAGTATGTAAAGGTTTACGACATATGCTTTCCTAACTCTTATGGCAGAAATTAATCACTAAATTTTTATTAGAAAACCCATCAACATAACTACGTATTGCTTTACTTACCGTTGTTAGATCTTCTAATGGGTCATCAACTTCTGCTTGCTTAAGGAAAACATTTCCTCGACACACCCGCCACAGCATACGCTCAAAAGCCGGTAACCGTTCACGAAGGATAATCCCAGCAAGAAACCTAATTTTGAAAAAGTTGATTTGTCATTTGTATGTTATAATCGTGATTTGTTTGAAAGCTACTGTGCGAAACGTGGTTATGTGAATATAAAAACTAGAAATGCAAAAGGTGGAATTCCTGAACAAGAACTAACAGACCCATTTGCTATCATGATTTTCAATCATTCCCAAGGCTTCATCTAAACAAATGTGATACCTCAGACGACTTCCATGAAATCTTGACCCACTGCTGAAATAATCCCTAATAACGTCTTTCGAATTCGTAGTTAGTGAGACCGTTTAGTTCTTCCTTACATATAATTTCGTTATATTTTATTACTTTTAATTTGACTCGAATTCACCAAATGTAATAACTGGGAAGGAAGGGGACAGGGTGCTGTGAAATCAGACTCAGTGACTGAAAACTCGAGATGTGACAGGTTACTAATGGGTTTATTCCCATGTAATCGCTATAGAACTATTCTAGGAAATGTAAAATGGAGTGAGATGGGGGTAGCGTAACAATCGTAAGGAAGGTTTGAATAATTTGCATATATTTCGAAAAACGAGTGAGGAATACATGATTAATTCGTGAGTACTAGGGAATGGCTAAAATTTCAACAAAAATAAATCAATAGGGCAATTAGAAAACCAAATTACTATAATATTGCTTAGTAACTAATTAAAAAATAGAGGATATGATTCAAACCAATTTGATTTAAGGATCATGAAACTTTTAAGACCAATGGTTTCCAAAGTATGCGCAAAAAATGAGTACATACACCCTAGCTTTTGCTGTTTCAATATTTTGAAAAATGAATTTGGAGATAATATGAGAGAATTTCGGGATATTTTAGACGGCAATCCGTTTGGTGGATAGTGACAATTTGAACTACAAAATAGGTAGTCTTTAGTGGTATTTATTTTCTCCAGATTGACTGATCTCACCACTCTTAAAACCAAGGTGCAAAGAACACACATATTTTAGTTATACCAGCTTTGAAGTAGATAACATGTATATAAGAATACTTACTCTCCATAGGATAAATCGGCGATTAGTTCCAATGGTTATATGTGAACTTAGGGCTGACAATCGAGTTTTCGGGCCTAGGGATACACAGTGGATAATTTCTAGAAATGTTTTGTGTTACCACTGTAGTTTAGTTTATGGTCTAGTTTCTGTTTGCACATACTCAATATAACGAACACTAGTTCAGTTTGTAAAAATCTAAACATACAGCTCCAGTGGTGCACTAACGTATCGGTCCACAAAATTGACCAAGCATATAACCATACTTGTTTTCACAAGTGTTTGTATTTAAACTACTGAATTGGTATTTCTAAGGTCGGACACAAAAATTAACGTACGGAGTGTAAGTTGATAGATAAGATTGTTAATTGAAATTGATTAGATGAGATATAGGAAACAAACCATAAATCAACAAAGCATTTGTGAGTATTAGTAGGGAGTTACATTCAATAGGTTCCTAGAGTTGATAGGTGATTTCCGGGATTTGTATACTCACTCTACATGACGTTTGTTACTGTTAGTATGAACTGTAACATCCCTTTCCGAATAATTATGATTGGGATCATTCATTGAGTTTAAGTCTAGATGAGATTCTACGTTGGCCTAAAAATCACAAACAGATTAGTAAGCAAAATATACATAACGCGAATATAAAAGCTGTAACTTACCCCAGTCGTAATCCACCAGCAGTGCCAGCAGCACCCATTGCTTCACCACCAAGGAGTCCAACATTTTCTTCTGACATTGCAGGATCGTGCAGAGCCTGTTCGCGATTCAGTCGACGAAGGGGCAAATCATTGGAAGGTATGGTCAGACGTTCAATCGGTAAATCTTGGCACTAATTTATTCACAGCAGTACAACACCGAAGTCGGACAAACCGACAAAAGGACCAGACAACGGCTGAGGCAATTAGGTATAACCACATGCAATACAAGGAAAAGAGCAACGGACAACCTGCCGATGTCTAAGGTAGCCTACGCCTGAGTGTGAATGGTAACCGTAACAATTTAGTCACGCTCAACAACGCCGCAAAGGCGATCAACTGTGTGACAATTAAGGATACCACACGGTTTTAGTTTGAAACCATAATTGGTAGTCTGTGCTAAACTCAGGCCTGACATTCTTAACCATTACAACCTTCAACAGATATTGCTTACTTTCTTCAGTTATAAACGAGCAATCGCTAGATTGTCATCATGGCAGGTATAGCGTAAGAACACTGTAGTTCAACGTTACCGTCCTATACAGAGTTCGACCCAAAACCTGCATAACTACCGTCATAATTTCTCTTATTTCGACCCAACCACTCTTATTGCTAAATATTCTCAGACACTACTTGACAAGTCCCCAAATCCGAGCATGGTTGAACAGGAACGTAATTAAACTCCAAATAAAAAAGTTGGATGGAAGTAGGAATCACGGCAAGAAAAGCGTCAGTATATTTAAGATTTTTACATAAGATTCTAGAGTTTTCTCCGAGTCTCCGCTAGCATTGGTTAGTTAGGAAAAAACCAACCAGAGTGCCCCATTACAGTACTATACAGGATATGTTTTAATCCAATCTATATCCCGATAACAGCTATCGACAACTGTGTAACTTGAAGTATACCAATGAAGTCTTCATTGATAATGAGCAGTCAGGCTTTCTGACTTAATAAATTTTAGTTAACTGAATGAAAAGAAATAAGCCACAACAATGTGTACTATAGATTGCCAGAGATTACTTAGACAACTGAAATGCAGTTGGATTCTGCAGCCAACCGTGTGAAATTCTAGTACTTTCACCACTTGTTACATTTTTCTACTTTGGCAAAATGAACATTCAGCTTCCCTTGTAAACTGATTTACCATTACCATTATAAGTCGCTGTTTGTAAGCTGATTTAATGTGCTAAATAGTCTATCTTATTAGCTAATCGGAAATAAAGTTGATAAAACCGATTACCATAGTTTGTCACCAGTAACGAATGGAAAACGGAAAGGTGAACCATTCCAAAACTTAAAAACTAGCACGATAAGTTAGGAAAGGAACTAGTGAAGTCATGGAGAACTCCCCACAATACACTTCAAAAAACTGTGATGAACGAGTTACGGATCAAAAGAAAGTTTAAACATTCCTAATTTTCAGATATCTGCACTGTACGGACAAATGCATGAGAACTAACACTTAGATTAATGGAAGTAGGACAGGCCTACCCTATTAACTAAACTTATGATCATAAATGCCGAAAAAAGCTTATAGTTAATCGACAGGTGATGAATAACCAGTTGGTTAGTTCAATCTGTTACCCACAATGAAGTAGGACTAGCAAATGATATGAGTATTACGCGTAAACTCATCAAATCGCCAGGCCGGGAAGAAATAGAGGTTAGTCTGACAATACCATGTTTAGATAAAACTTGAAATTATTCTTAGTCGTATGAATATGAGTGGACTATACCACCATCACTTACGTTAACCATAATATTTTATGTTCATCGAGCCTGATAGACCATAACTTAACGTATTTACTAAAACACATTACCGAACTATAACGCAACATCTGACTTATCGAATGTACGTTGTAAATCAGTTTGAAGGCGACACATTAACTCGTACGAAAAAATAAAAACTTACTTCGTCAAAAAATGTCTGCGTTTTGCGCAAAATCTGCTTCAGTTCAGACAATTCCAGGTACGTCTTCTTTAGCTTTTCTGCGCTTGAGTTCACTTCTTTCAGCTCGTTCTCTAATTTTTCAAAAATACTTTCTAAGTCGATAATTTCACGTGGGGCCGGAGCTTCTGGATTTTCGCCAGTGTCCAATATGGGAAATTTATCTTTTTCGATCTCCTTCTCCAGGAATCCTAAGTAAATGCACGGATTTAGCGAAAAAATTACTTAGTTTTCGCTCCATTTCATCACATCTTCGAACTTCATTTACAAATTTTCTCTGGAAGGCGTTGGTACCTGGGACGGTCTAATACTATAACACAAAGAGACCACTAGTTACATCTCGAAATTGCACCAGTCCCAACTCCCCTAACTCGGATATGCACATGTAGGCTATGTCTGTGTGCAGAAACATCTGAGACAGTTGCATTTCTTCGCTCCGGAACAACGAACCCATCTTCAGTTACTAGTGAAAACGAAACTAGATTATAAGCGCTCAACCTTGACCTCGACAGGAGTAACAAATTTCCGTAAACTAATGATCTAAGAGATCCTATTTTGTACACATACTGAGTAAACAAATTTAGGAATTTAGCACAATAGCAAGCCTCAATAAATCATTTTTATTACCTACACGCGGATGAGATCAGTGACAGGCAACGCATCGTTTCCTAGTTTCCTTTTATCTCATGTTCATGTCTTTTTTAATTATTTCTATTGCTTCATAAACCAAGTCGTCTAAAACCCTACATGACACGCCAAAATACTCATCTCTATTGTCGCGATACAGGGCAGTTACAAAGCTTTCTGAATTAATAATAATTGTAACCATTTAGCACCACTCACTAAATCAGAATGTCCCGCAGACTTTGCTGTCGAAGAAGTGATGAAAAAAGTAACATCTTCCAACAATGTGGCTACGTACAGTTGTAGAATTATGGTCTACGCAGTCTTCGTGACTAAACCCTCAAAGATGCCACAAGTATTTTAAGTTTGAAAACACCTTAACCAGTAACAGCTTCTGTAATCAAAACGTGCCAAACCAGTCAAATCAAAAGTCAGAAACGAGTAGGTTCGAAGATATATTTTAAAGGATATCGATATGCCGAAAAGTGACAAGTCTAAGCTGGCTAGCGGTTGTAGGAGATGCGAAGTACAACGTCCACACTCGTGATCTGGTACGGATGAGTGACCAAACGCCTGCAGCTAGGTGAATCAACTAAAACTAATGCGATCAGCATCAAATGTCAAAGACTTACAGAGCTATCAATTTCGGGAATTTATTTTCAGCTACGCCCCCACCCAAAGCTAAGGGATATTTACTGTCGAACATAAGGTTTGCTGAACGTAAACTGTCAGGTCACTCGTCTTAGAAAAAGATCAGACAAATCGACATGTCCCATCCTGTTTAAATTTAGCTATTGTGACGATGCCAAATAGCTTGTCAGTTCTAATGAAGTTATTAACTCATCGATTTCATACAACAGCATGAAAGTCACTTCAGACCTAACGCCTTGTTGATGCCGTGTAGGAGAACGTGAAGCATTAGGATGGGATGGTCATGTTACAGAAAATAACCAGCCAGAGACAAATTCTAATACTGTTAAAAATATCAAATATCTTTTGGTGGAGTTTTGTTCTCTGAGCTGGATGGTTTGGTCGTGGAGCTTTCATCGTTCTTCTGAACGACATCATCAGCACAAACTTCAGATAGAAGTGAAGTGTTTGAATTTCTCCATATGTGTCTCAAAGCTTGTTCTGTGCACCTCGACGTCAAACGGCATGATATCTCTTCACTTATATCAATACACGTGGACAACTGCGGACATTCATTCGATTGGCAAAATGTGGAAATCTTAGACAGAGGAAACTCCAAAAACACCAGAGAATTTTTAGAAGCCTGGCACTCAGGTCAATTAGCAATCAACAAGCATATTGAAATCAATCCAATTTATCAACCAATCAGAAAAATCATGCACAAACATAAGAACAAAAATCAAAACAATGGGAGACACAACCAAAACAAAGAAGTAAACAACGACACATTTAAGGTCAATAAGAACCAATCAACGTCGAGGTGCACAGAACAAGCTTTGAGACACATATGGAGAAATTCAAACACTTCACTTCTATCTGAAGTTTGTGCTGATGATGTCGTTCAGAAGAACGATGAAAGCTCCACGACCAAACCATCCAGCTCAGAGAACAAAACTCCACCAAAATCATCCACCTGAGCTACAAATCTTCTCCACCATCTCAATATCAAATATCTAGAACTAGATGAGTTTACTAACTAGAAATGTCTAAATATGATACATATTCTGACTGATACCATATAACGTAACGACGTTGACGATTCTAGTCCAGACTGTTAGCGCAGTATCATACTTGAATATGAGCCATGTGACAACACAACCGACAAAAGATAGTCTGAATAGAATTGAATTCATCCCACAGAACACTACTGAGACACCATGAAATTCTCCAGCTCCTCCCAAGAAGGGTGGATGGAAGAAATCCACGATATCAAATAATGAACAGACAAGGCTCAACCTAACTGCTCCATGGATCTCCCCTACGATATCAAGTGACCTACCATCAAAATCTCTAAGTAGTCAAACTGGTGATAGGCACAAGTTCAATCAACTTTTGAAAACGCAGACTGGGAGTAGTTATAAATGTTCTGGTTACACTGCTCATCCACTAAAGTCTAGGACTATTAATGAACATGGTGATAACAGATTTCTCAACCCACACTCTACCTCTTATCCCCAAGATCACAACCGTAATCACTACAGGAAAGAAATTTTCCACATCCCACAATACCAACCCACTAAATAAAAGTGGCTCCTTAGTATGAAAACGGATAAAATCACTGCCAGCTATGAACAGTAGATCCTCCCCAAGCTAACAACAATCCATACAGTTGTAACCCAATCCACGAGCTTGACTGTCAGAACTACACTGGAGATGTCCTAGCACTGCACAATCATCCTGTACACGATTTTTTGGATACAGCCTCTTGTGGCATCTCTCCTGAGGCACCTAGATCTTGTCATTTAAAACCACATAAGAAATACAAACTCACTTCTTCCGTACAACTTTAACTGGACAATATCATCACTCCTTCCTGCTGGGTAAACACTTTAAGCAAATTTAATTGCTCATTTGATATATCCTCTCCAGCCCTTATACTCAACAAAACTGGCCATCAAACAACAACCGATCTCATGCTTTAAACCTACCTCACGCTTCTGAGGGTTGAAGAGCTACTTCACTGGAGATACACTTGTAGTGGCATTGGACCATAACCACACAATCCTCAAAGCTGAACACGAGACTACTCGGAAAATAAATATTCAATATTTGACGCGGAGAAATACCTGACGATGGAAAAGGTGGGAACAATGTGTTGAATTAATGGGAGTTGACCGGATGGCATGGCTCGGCCATGCAAGTGTGGTCTCTACGGAATCTTACCTTATAAATTTCATTCAAACTGAATATACATTGTTCTTTCTCTAGCCTAAGCTTCCTCTCAACCATGTATCGGTAATTGTCACGATACAGTGAGTTGATGTAGACGATGATGTGACTTCCACGTAATTTCTTATATATTAGGCAGTTATTTCATGACAAATCTACAATTTTAGGATTAGGTCTACTATTAGAACAGTACTAATATCATAGAAGATCATAATTCTACACACTCACCTACTTTAATTTAGTTGGCTACTTGTTTAATATGCGTCTTATCAACGCTCGATAGATCTGCAATAACAAGCTAACATCTACATACTCATATGAGATGAGGTGCAATCACTAAAAATCGCACATGGCTGTAAAAGTTCTATAACTAAACCTTTTGAACACTACTCAGAAACATCACCTTCTTATTTGCTTCAACTATCATTACACAACTTCGAAATTACACATCTTTATCCACTCCGACGACTACCACATCTTCTTACCGAGGACATTCACTTAATTGTGAAAGACAGTCTCTGAATCTCAACTAATTAAATACCGAACAAAGTGACTCTTCACACAATGGATTAGCTAGTGTTTTATACGATTTCATTATCTATTCACAGTTTCCTACTATTTTGTTTTATTTCACCCTCTATCAGCAACAAGATGACCCATCTTAAATCCGCGGATTATTTTGTCAATCCCAGCATCATTAGATTCACTGGAACATAGAGCATGCATCATAACTCCAAATTAACACCGTGTGTTACCACCTAAACAAATGTACCGTTAAAAATGAAATATAGATATATGTGAAAGCTATATAATATAAATGCGACCTGATTATCTGTCGATTCTGATCTCATCAGTGGGTTATGTTTCCTATTCCTCAGACAAACAGATTACTTCCAAGAACTGGTTCGATAGTGTTGTAAATGTTGTGATTGGCTTCTTAAATTATTATTCACTAGAAAATTTTATGCAGTTACTGGCTAATTAGATTATTATGTATATGTATTCCATTTAACGTAAAAGTTTTACTAACCCACTAAAGACAGTTATGCTGTTTGCTATTCCTGAAATCCTGCCAATTGATTACTTAGAGTTTCCACCATTCACAGCAATTTTAGCTTCCTAATATATAATCGCTTTGTTCATTGTATGGTGCGACGAGGTCCCATATATTTGTGAATAATCTATGTCTACTTGAAATCTAAATAGCGAAGATTGTTTACCACTTCCGGACACTGCGCAAAGCATACAGTGGGGTTCGCGATTAATGAACCAACAAGAACTTGTCTTTTGGCCCAGGGTCATTAGTGCTAACTGGGCATACGACTGGTCAATTTGGGAACACTTGGCTTTTATGCTGATAGTAGGAGCGAAATAGGTCAAATTGAAATTGGGATCTCGACGAATGATGTGGCACGTGATAATGGTCAGCGGTTTCAAAACGTATGAGGCATAAGCGAGGGAAAGATATACAATATCGTTGCCTGGATATACAGATGTTCATAAGTTCTGGATATCGTTCTGTGGAAGAAGTACAACATCATTGCAGTTGACCATCTATATAAATGGTAGCGAAGCAACCAATATATATTCAGGTGTTATTTAAAGATATGTGAGACCGAGGTTATATGACACCCATTTTTCATACTGTCAGTTGAACGCAAAATGACACATAACTCGTTGGTTTAACGGTTAACCTGGGCATTTTCGTTAAAAATATTGAAATTTTATGAACTTCATAGCTGCAAATGCATCTGTAGAATTATGGTATTAATATTGCTCTAAAAATAGACCTAATCCTAAACTTGTACATTTGTCATGTTGTAATTGTCTAATCTATATGATCTCACGTGGAAGTCATATCATTGTCTGCACTGGCTCGTCGTATCGTAGCAATTACCAATATATGATGGAGAAAACATTCAGGCTGGAGATAGAACAATATATTTAGTAGGACTAAAAGCAAGTTGTACAGAGCTACCACGCCTGATAGGCTAAGCCATAA